AAATTTTGAAGCGCTTTTAACCATATTTTCTTATCTGAAATGTTTTCTTTATCTGATAATATACTGAGTGTAAGAGAATATGAGAAGAAAAAAATATTATTAAGGAGAAAGAGACCAATAAAAGAACAAGGGTTATGAAGGACAAATAAAGCGATATACATTGCATTTACATTTATTTGAAACTGAGTAACCGGATGAGTGCGAGGAAAGTAACTATATATTAGGATATTTTGGGTACCTATTGAGATAGAATTGTGGAACTGATGCAGCATCACAGATTTTCGCCGGGTTAGTGAGGCTCCTTCACAATATTAAATACTTCTGACGGTTTGCATTTGTTTTTTCTTCTTTCAATAAATAAACAAACAAACATAGTAATATAATCATTTCTTTTAATAGAGAGACGAAAATCGAGAAATCACAAGTAAAATTCTAAGAATAGATTAAGTAACATCAGTTGAAGTTTAAAATAAAAAAAATGTGTTATCAAATACATGAACATGGCTTAGGTACTTCAACTTGGTGACATGGCTAGTAAGCTTGTCTTTATTGATCAATTACGAATAAGTTTTGAGCTCGATCCTCACTGAGTGCCTCTTATGGCCTTGGGTTCTATTTGACCTAAGTTTAGTCAATTGCTTTTAAAGTTCGAGTTAGGTTTGTTTCATTTGATGTTAACTAATTTATCATTTATTAAATTCTATATTACATATTATTTTAAAGAAAAATGAAGCTAATATCAACTAGCTTTACATTTTGTATGTAAAGAGAAATCATATGTCTTTTAGCCGTATGAATTGGAATAATGTTTGACTTGCAACACTCTAATGACGATTCCTGTTATAATAAGCACCAAACCAACCACCGCACTAATTCTGATGAATTTTCTGGCTTCTAAGTTAAACGCCTCTGCGCTGTTGATATTCCCCATTCGGTATTGATTTTGTGCCTGAAAAAACCAAAAGTCTTGAAATATAAATCATTTTTAAAATAGCTTCCAAAACACTAAAAACCCATATATATATATATATATATATATATATATATATATATATATATATATATATATATATATATATATATATATATATATATCTGTCGCTCTTGATATTGACCTCAGTCTCATGTGTCCAATATTAAATTTATTATCTTCTATATATTTAGATATGCTTTTGAAAACCCAAGAATTTTTAACTCTATCGGCTCTGACTTGATATCTCTTCCCAAAGCAGACATTTTTCCCATCGCCCATAATCCTTGGGATTAATGGGAAAAATTACAAGTTATACATATATATATATATATATATATATATATATATATATATATATATATATATATATATATATGTGTGTGTGTATATATATATATATATATATATATATATAATAGACCTCCGTTTGTTGTTGGTCTCACTGTACAATATTACAATTTCATTCATATTTCTATTCTATATTTAGACATACTAGAAAAAATATCGTTGCTGACTTGATATCTCGGCATCAGACATTTTCCCATCGCCCATAACGTATCTTTCCTGTACCTTTTCTATAAATATTTTCATGGTCATTCTTCGGATGTCCTTTCCTCTTTCGTACTTAGACTTAACGAATTTAAACGCATTACTAGATTGTTCATTTTAAAATTGATATTATATATGTAATCCATTGAAACTGCTATCCACCGAAAAAAGAAAAGAAGCCACTCCCCACCGTGGACCATTTAAAAGATAGTTCGCGCAGCGGATTGGTTGTTACAAACATCCAATCGTGTGTGCGGAAGATGTGATTTCTCTTCGTCCAATTCATTAAAAAGGCCAGAGTAGCTGTTAGCGTTTGTTTGCGAGGTGGGGATCAGGGCTTGATCTCCGCTGATTGGGTCGACTTTGTGAGGGGGTGTATGATGTTGAAAGACCCGAAACTCCCAGATGAGCCAAATCAAATTACATCACTGACGACCCTATCCGGCTCCTACTTAAGAGCATATTTTTGTATTAACATCCATCACAACAATTTTAAGTCACCGTCTACATTTTATCTTAGGTTAAATTTAGTATAAACATTCATGTATCAACTGAAATCCTGTTTTAACAGAAAATGATTTTCAGTTTTGCATTGATTTTTATGTTGTATAATAACACAACACGTACGACGTTGTGAGCTGAATTTAATTCTTTCATATTCCAGTGACACTGAATCAATTTTGATCTATACGTCAATTGATTACAGGAAACAATAAGTAATACATAGGTACTGTTATGAACTCCTTTTTATCTCCAAAAATGATTTTCAGATTTGCATTCAATTTAATACAACCACAACACGTGCAACATTGTTAGTTCAATGTAATTCTTTCATACTGTTTTGTTAATGATACTGAATCAATTTTGCTTTATAACTCAACTGATTACAGGCTACAATAACTATGAAAAATGATACACATATATCAGGATATAATAATTTATTTAGCAGTTTAAATGTTTTAAGGTATATTGGAACAGTTTTACTAGCTCACCCATTGCTGGACAGAGAAGAGGTGCATATAGATATTTTCCAACGTTATTTGCGCGGAAGAGAACATAACGAACACAACTATAATTGAAACTCGGCTATCCGATTCTTAATTTCGTCATTATCAATTGCACCATCCGTACAACCAAGCTTACTAGACCTAATGTTTCCAAGCCGTCACCCATTTAGGTACACAGCGGGCTCGAATTCGTACGGGAACCGATATTTCAATCTTATGTAGCTGTTAGCCTCACAATGATTAGAACGGAATAAATAATGATAATTCTTTTTCCCCAGAAATTCAGACAGAAATTTGTAATCTTAGAGAGGCCGAAACCTACATCAATGGATGAAGTGCCCCACTCAAATGGCATTGCCATCTGGTTGAGTTCCTGGTTAACCGTCACGAAATGTGACGCGTTCTGTTCGCTAAGTTGGATGACGGTTTATGTAATACTTAACCTCTAGTCAATTAAGCCGAATCTCTACCGTAGGATATAATAATTTATCAAGCATTTTAAAAGTTTTCCTGTAAATTGGACAGTTCTACTAACTAACCCATTGCTGGAGGGAGAAGAGGTGGATTCATAAATTTTCCAAGGTTTTTTGCGCGGAAGAGAATATAACGAACAGAACAGGAATTGAAACTCGGATATCCGATTAATAATTTCGAGACATTATCAATTTCACCTAAGCTTACTTGACCTGATGTTCCCAAGCCGTCGCCCATTTAGGTACAACACCGGGCCCAACGTTGCTTAACTTCGGTATTCATGCGGAAATCAACATTTCAATTTTAAGTGGCTGCAAGCCTCACAATACTGAGAGTAATAGATTCCTCATCCCAGAAATTCAGACAGAAATTTGTAATCCATGTTTCTTAGACAGGCCGAAACTTGCATCACTGGATGAAGTGCACCCTTCAAACTGCATTGTCGTCTGGTAGAGTTCGTTGTTAAACGTCACGAAATGTGACGCGTTTGCATCGTTATGTTAGACGACGGCTTATGTGACACTTATACAGATACTTTACTGACGCGTTTCTAAAACACATCCAGTTGCAACATGGCGTGCGAGACTAAATTTGCTACATCCACTAGTTTTCGAATTCACAGATGGCATGATCTAATTCTAAAAATATATTCTTCATTTACGTTCTTCTGACTTCTTCGTAATCTTCATTTCCTATATCTGTGAAGATGACAGATTATACCAGCACCCACATGAAGCTTGAGAAGTGAAGAAAAATGAAATATCATTTTAAAATGTCCGCCCTTTCTACGGAGCTCATACCCAAAATTAAAATTATCCAGAAGAGAAGTTTGGATAATCACTTTTCAGTGGTATTATTCATTGTTGTTGAAATCTATTCTGTTTTTGTTTTACCAACATAGTATCTGCAGCTCGTATCTATCATTGACCAGCATAATTTGGCCGAATTCAGATTTGTTCTTCTGATATACTGCTTGCCATCCATGGCTAAAGCGCTCAGTGTCCATAGCTTGTAGGGTAAGAGATAGATCCGTTCCTTTTGAAGAATATGAGAATTGGAAAACCGTTTTATTGACACGAAATTACGTGTTTCACACTTGTTGGGCTTCATCAGTTCAGAACGAAATAAAAATATTCCTTTGTGTCCGTGTTTGTGTGTATACTTAAATAATAGATCGTTAATATTTTTCCGTTACACTGAAGTTGCTCGGGATATTTTATACATGTACATTCCTTTTCCAAGTGTATTTCTACGAAAATGTGTATGATGAAGTTGACCAGTATTCGAACTCAGAACGTCGATTCCACGTTCCGAATCGCTATTAGTTTTCATTTAAAAAAAAAAAAAAGTATGCAAAGTCAAATTTATGAACAAAGATACAGATTGAAATCTGTTTTAACTAATTTAAGAAATCAAGATATAAAATATTGATAAATTATTATTTTAACTGAGCCATTTTACGTCATTTGTTTGGGTACCATTTTTTCATATTAATATCATTACTTACTTCGTGTGCTTTGAGGAAAGCCACAATTCCAGTCGGTAGGAACAGGAAAATCGCAAAAATAGATAAGCATATGTAATTCGCCATTTCTACTGTCACCACATCTTGCGCATTCTGCGTAATCTAAAGTAAATATATAGATATATATACACTCATACACATGGCTTTTATAAAAAGATTCATGCAATCTAAATCATAAGGTGAACAAAAGTTTTACATAATAATCGAATAGCCATCCTAGGAACAGTAAAAAAATTAAGTTTAATAGAATTCCTTTTATTTGCATGAAATTTACTGCTTTCGATGAATCATCTTAGAGAGCATTATATTCCTTCGTTATGCATAGATTATGCTAACCTACATGTGAATATCACGTTGCACCTTCGTGGTTTAACATTCTCGGCAGACATGAAGTTGAAAAATATTTCTAGGTCTCCTTTGGTTCATAGTGTCATGCCTGACATTTTTTCTGTGCTAACAGATTCTATTCTTGCCTGTGGAACATTCTCAAAAGAAAAAGCCTGTGGAAACCCTGAAAATATTTCTAGATTTTAAAATGCTTTGGAAATAATAATTATTTGCTGATAAAGTTTCTACTAGTTAACCCATAGCTTGGGGGAGAATGACTTAGCCAAATGCATTTTTTCATAAATGAACCCGAATGGAATTGGAACTCGGTTTTCCTGTTTTCTATTTCCGAGCCGTTAACCATTACACCATCCGCACATCCAAGCTTGTAGAAGCTACTAAGAAGACATCCGTCTATCAACTGACCAAGCACGACGTTGCTTAACTTCAGTGATCTTATAAGGACCGGTATTTCAACTTGATATATCCGGAAGTTAAACTTTCCAGGCGAAAAATAGAGACACTTCTTTGACACAGAGTCTGGATGGAACCATCTTTTTAAAAACATATTCATTTTTTTATTTTCAATTAATTATGAAAAGTTTCGTTATATGACTTAAAATTTTCCAATTCAGTTAAAATTAAAATATTGTGTATTATTATAATTATGTAAATTAAATTATTTAAATCAAATCAAACACAGAATATATTTTATAATTATATAGATAATTCTGTAATGTTTTCTTCCTACGAAAATTAATTAAGCAGCATTCTATATTTCCATAAATAAATATTTGTAATAATAAAAATAATTTTAAATAATAAAAAAATGACTTTTACTTAGCATAAGTATGGGGCAGTTGAATTTCCCGGAGTCATAATGAGAAAAGAGGGCTTAGAAAATTTGACACACACTGGAGAGAAATGAAGAAGACCAACGTAAATCAACACATAATTTAGCTTCCCATCTTCTGTAATGTTTGGGAGAGAAGAGATTAGGAAATATAGCAAAAGAACAAATTTTACTTAGCGCTACAAAGAACAGAAAATTGTGGAGAACCATAATCGCCCACGTCTTAAAGGGACACGGAATGATGATGTGGATGATGGGGAAGAAGAAGAAGAAGAAGGAGAAGAAGAAGAGTGACTTACAATGACTGTTTGATTGTTGTTTGAAACTGCAGGTGGAGGTGGAGGTGGAGGTGGAGGATAATACGGTTGGTGACCGTAGTTGGTGTAACCACCACCTGGCTGGTAACCTTGTGTTGGATATGCCGCTGCTGCTGCATATCCTTGCTGTGTTGGGTAGGCAGCTGGATTTTGAGGATACCCAGTTTGAGATGAATTTTTAACAGACTCTGTATAACTTGGTGGATATTCTTGATTGTCAACTTGGGGTTGGCCTGAAGATTCAACTTGGGGTTGCTGATCTGGTAAAATAATTAAATGTACATATATGTATGCACACAATATATATATTATACATATAATTATTCTATTATTGATTAAATTACTTGCAACTACTAATCTATTTTCCTTGACATCCATAAAATTTCTATCGTACAATCATTTATTGTAAAAAGATTCTAAAAATAAGAAACCATACACGTTTTTTTCTCGAGGTTTTATATAATTAAGCTTGAGCTTAATTATATAAAACTAATTATATTATATTTTCTCCTACATCAATAGGAGTAGATAGGTTCGTCTATAATCCGGTTAACTCTCCTTCCCGATTTTTTGAACATGATTAGAGTTTTATTCTTTGTTTTCGGTTTAGGACTGGATTTCCGTTTATTCTTAATGCCTACTTCCACTCACTGATTTAACTCTGAAAAGCGTGTAGGAAGGGCTAAACTTCAAAATATGCTCATAGTCGAGACTTAAAAATAAACACAAGGCAGGTATGTAATGTTCAAGTACGAGAAACATTTTCGGCGCTTGTTGTTGTACTCAGTATCCAGTTTCATATTTATATTCATATACGCCCTGTCTCTGCTATTGAGCACTTTCCCTATAAATATACCTTAAAAAGTATATATTCATCATGTACTTATGATATAAATATAGGTTTAAGGTATGATCTATTATGTGTCAATTCGTTAAATATCAGGGACAGAGCGTGTGCAAATATAAAAGTTGACTTTGAGGTTAAAACCAAGTGGCGACAGTCTGTTTTATACTTGCATCAAATGTTTGGCTATAAAGATTACGTTCAACCATGAACAACCTGTTTAAAAAATTTAACATCAAAATCATTTATTTATATATATATATATATATATATATATATATATATATATATATATATATACTAGCAATACCAACGTTGCCTGGGGAAACAATGAGATAGATCAAGTATCGACCATCATGAAGACAAAATAAAATTGACAAAGATTATTGTTTAAGGTTGAACACGTTAATTAGTTTTTTGTTTTTTTACGATTGAAACCCAAACTCAAAATTTTTTTATAAACATTTGTCTTCGATTGAATGGAATTTTTTAAAACATTGTCTGAATGTAAAAAATAAAGAAAAAAAAAGTGCAAGACAATAAAAACACTACCTGCCAAAAAAAAAAAATTTTGTGAAATTTTGTTGAAATCCGTTGAAAATGTAGGAAATCACACACATATATAAACGAACACACACACATAAACAACCTGGGTTTTATAACTCGATATGAGTTGTCCCCTTTCATTCTGGCGACAGAATCGTGTTTTCAAAATTGATTTCAAATTGAAAAAATTGTGTTTTTCCAATTTTGGCGCTGTCAGAACCACCGCAAGGTAATTTTACGCAGTCCTGTGAAGTTTTGTTGAAATCGTTTGAAAAATGTAGGAAATCCCATCCAATATATAAACGTACAGACACACACACACACAATCTGCGTTTTATAATAAGTAAAATATATATATATTATATATATATTATATATATATATATACATTATATTTATATATATATATATATTCTCTAAAATATATATATATGATTATATATATATATATATATATATATATATATATTATATTTTTCATAAATTAAACACCTAAATTGATAAAATATATATATATATATATATATACATATATATATAAATGAGAATAAAAATATATATATTGAATATATATATATATAAATTTATATTTTAAACATATATATATATTATATTTAAATATATATAAAAAATATATATATATATAAATATATATTATATATATAAAGTATATATATTATATTTATTATATATATATATATATATTATATTTATATAGATATCCTGATATATATATATATATAAATTATATATTATATATATATATATATATATTATTATCTACTATTTGTTTCAAATACGTACCACAAATATGTTGAAAATCAAATGAAAATGGTTAATCCATTACAAATTCAATCTTTTTAAGATATACAGTACATACGAGTATCCCATACCATAACAATCTTATCACAATTTAAACAATATTCATTTAAAAATAAAAATTCTTGAATATTACTCGCTTACTTTTTATCAGACTTTGAATTATGAAATTTTGTGTCTCTATACATTTTAAATGACCTTGAATATTTACCTGATGAACATTTATGAACGTTCTCAAATTTAAAAAAACTTGATAAACCATTGACTTCCTTAATTTTGTATATAAAATTGTTATCAAGAAAAAAATTTTACACTACCTTGATAAAGTCTCTCAAATTTCGTAGAAACAAACGTGCTTGTTTGAAGTTTTCCTCTTGTTTTCATTTTTAATTATTCGTTTTACTAGTTTTGATTCCTCCAAGGGATAATTCCATTTTTGATTTAAAAAGAGATAGCTTACAGTGAGATTGAACAGAGATTATCAATGATATTAAAATCAACTGGAGACTAACACAAATGGATAATTAAACACACACACTTCATATATATATATATATATATATGCGATGTCATTTGCAGTGTCTGTTGAATCCAATGATGTAAAATTTCATTTTCATGAAGAATATATTCAAACAGAGAGATGATTGATTTCCCATGACTAAAAGAAATTAATATGCCAGAAAAACTTCATTAAGGCATTTTGAAAACTTCAGGATCTTACCAATGTCTAGACACAGAGGTTTGGTCGTAAGTCAAAAAATAAAACCTTTTCAATGAAGGCTTCTAAAATATTAGCATCAATGAGCAGTGAAGGGATCTGGAACTAGATTATATAAGGGTTTGGCCTCATCACTGTCCCACAATTTTTCTACAAATGGGCCCAATCGTTTGTTAAATACTGAGAAAAATTCTAACAAATGAACATCGGTTATGGGAATGTTCGGATGTTTTAAACTATAACATCTGTTTTTCAATATCTTATCATCTGCTCTCGTAGATAAATTCAAAATGGTCTGAGCATTTTCAGTTAAACCTGATAAGACTTCTAATGAGGGTTAAAATAAAATCACTCTGGTAGCTTTTAAAATTTTCTGGAGTGGTAGAGAAATTTATAAAAGGGAATCTGGTGTGGCTTTTTTTTAAAAGACATCAAATATTGCAAGGCTAGAAGATATTCCATGTGGAGTTAGTTATCGGATCATTCTGATGAGGCTGAAGAAAATATAAATTTTATGACTCGTGAAGACGTATATTCCGACTATGGATTATTTTCAAGGGAAACATCATCGCTTTTCAATTTGGCATTATGTGCAGTGGTTAGAACAAGAATATAAACATAGCAAACAAACAATATCATTCTTGGTAATTTAACGCTAGGGTAAATAAAACATATTTTTTTATTAACTATATGGGAAAAACATGGAATAGGAAAATTATCAATAAATTTATTTGCTACATATATTCTGCTCGGAGATGGGTTTCAGATCAGTGTCACATGATTCGTCAGAAGGACAAATTCAACACAACCCTATGGACCCATATATATATATATATATGGCATATATATATTATGTCTTATAAGGATAGATGATATTATATTTCTGTGAAATCCGATAAACCCAACTTTGCTGGTTGTTCAGACCTGACCACCAAATGGTTCGAGCAAAAATTTTGATTTCAGGAACCGAAAATGATCTGGTGGTCATTTCTATTTCTAAGCGGTTGTAGGTCCTCTGAAGGATGAGATGGTGAAAGAAGGACTTCATAACCGATGGAAGGCATTCTTTGTGAAAACCACTGGTCTTTCAAGACATCTGTTTATGAAGCCTGTGAGAAGGTGTTCCTTGCTGTCAAAACATCAAGACTGGTTTGATGATAATGACATTTCCATCAGCATCCTTTATTTTTTTTTATTATGGTGTTTAGAACAGAATAGAGTTTGCAGCTGCCTCTTGTAGATTATGGCGAACTCGTTGGAGGGAAGCGACCCTTCAGAAACCGAAAATGAGAACCACAACCCCGTTTGAAATCATCTTTTCATCTGCGTAATCTTTGTTGTTCATCAGATGTCAAATGGACAGCTTTCAGCATGGCATCTAAGTTTCTCAGAATTAGCATCCAGTAAGAGATCCTCCTGTGAGAAGACGTATCCTTGCCTTACGTTACTCTTTCTAGTTTTTGTATATCTACTGAACTCATTCTCTATGCGCATGCATGCCGTTTGCTGCCACTATAGGTTCTTGATTATTCTAATATCTTTCCCAAATATATCAAGGTTGCTGAGCAGTTCCAAAGATCTTTGGTGCACTTTGTCGAACGCTTTTGCGTAGTCTATAAAAACATATGTACACGTTCTTCTGCATTTGTATTGCTCTTTCTGATAACATTTGAGCATCAATACCTTTGTTCCTTTAAAGAACCCACGCATTTTTTTGTCCTATCTCTGGCCTGATTCTGCTGCGCGCTCTATTCATCAGAATACGTATGATGAGTTTTATTACGCTCATTAGGCTGATTGTTCGGTGGAGTTCACATTCGTTTGCGTCTGGTTTCTTATGTTAAAATAGATCTGCTGAGATCTTCCGGTATATCCCCACTGTTGTAGATTTCATTTATTATTTCTTTGATCTTGTCTATACCAAAATCATCTAAGGCTGTCAGCATTTTTATTAAAATTCCGTCTGGCCCTGCCGCCTTGTTTCTGTTCAATTTGGCCAGTGCAGCTTCTGCTTCGGTTTTTAGAATTTCAGGTCCGTCAGTAGTTCTGTGTATTGCCAGTTGTTCTCTTTCGTCGTGGAAGGGTTCTCAATATATTCGCTCCAGCGCTGAAGAATTTTTTTCCTTCTCTAATATAAGCGTTCCATCCTTTGATTTTAGACAGCCTGTTGACGAGCATGTCTTCTGTCCTGTTAGTTGCCTTATTTGTTTATGCATATCTCCTTTTTAGTGATACTCAATCTCTCTATTTCTGCACATTTTTTGTTTTAGCCACTCTTCTTTTAACTGCCTGCATTTGGTCCTTATTTCATTGTGTAATTTTCCGTATTCTGTTCCATATCTTGGCAGAGTTTTCTGTTTCTTTTCCATCATATTGAGAAGCTCATCAGTCATCCATTCGTTTTTTCTTCTTCGTCTCGTCTCCTTTGGGATGATATCGTTTGCTGATGTGACTAAAGCGTCTCTTAGTGCGTCCCGTTTCGAGTTTCCATTTTGTCTTTCGTATCATCTTTTCACATTGTCCATATATTTTTCTTTTAGGTTCGGGTCACTCAGGTGTTTGTTGTATTGCATTTTTTGTGTTGATATAGGCTTCTTCAATTTCCGCAGTTTCACTCTTAGTTTACGTATAATAGGGTGATGATCGCTTCCGCAGTCGAGAGACTCGGGTAGGTTTTGCAGTGAATCATTGCATTCCTGAATCTTTTGATGGATGTATAGTCATTTTGATTATTATTTTCACTTCCTGGACTCCTCCATGCCCATAGTTGTCTCAAATTTTCTTGCCACGAAGTTTTGGCTATTACCTGGTAATTGGCTGTGCACCATTAGATCCATTTTTCTGCGTGTTCGTTTCGAATCTTCCTGCTATATCTTCTGCCCTCGGCCTGCCTACTTTGGCATTTAGGCCTCCCATGATAATGATGACTTCCTGTGATCTGCATAGAGCCTTTGCATTGTTTAGCATAGAGTAGAAAGATTCTATTTCCTCTTCCTTACTTTATGTCGTCGTTGCGTTCACTACTATGATATCTACGTTGAAAGGCTTTCCTTACAACTTGACTACCAGAATTCTGTCGGAACGTTGGCAGTATCCCAGAAGCCATTTCTTTAATGCGTTATCATGTATGAATCATACTTGTTTGTCGTTTTACTCACCTTCTGCATAAATTATCCTTTTCATGTCGCTGACAAAATCACCGTTGTTTGGCCATCTGGTCTTACATACACTTATGATATTGATGTTAACCCTGCTCATCTCTTGTTTCACATTATCCAACTCGCCGCAGTTGTTCAATGTCCGAACGTTCCATGTCTCGACAGTTATTTTATGCTTGATGCGAGCAGTCGCAAGATAACGCTACGGTGACCCCTGTAGCTCATATCGTTCCTTTCCGGGTGAGGGATAGGTTCCAAGAACTTTTATCCCCTTTACGCCGTTTATGCTACCAGTTACTAGATGACGGTCAGGTGACACCTGTTGCGCATGTCGATCCTTACTGGGCGAGGTGCTAATTCCCATAGACTTAACCCCCTTTACACCGTTAGGTTTCACAATGTCTGAGTTGTTGGCCATGATGTTTTGGGATTGATAGTCGAGTGATTTCCTGTTGCTTTCTCCACGGCGTTTTATGGAGACACCACCTTTAGTTAGCTGGCTGTTGACTCAGAGAGTTCTTCCGCCCTTTGTTAGGTCTTGTTTTTCGTCCTTACTGGCTTGCTAACGAGCCGCTTCACTCGGAAGTTGAAGTGGGTTAGTCGGTTTAGTCTCCGATCTTTAGACCGGAATACTTACCGATAAGGTGGGGGAATTAAAAAAAAAAAAAATTAAATTAAGTTTTAAATTTTAACTTAGTATAAATCCTACTACCCCTTCTAAAACAATATCCGATTATCCAGCATTGTGGAAAAAGCGATTCATACTACTTACCATTGAAACCTCGAGTTTAATCTTGCTAAACTCGAATCAAATGGTCATTTAGTGAATTCCCTGGCTGACTTTAACAAGATATGTCTCCACTGCAAAGACCACCGAGCCGTAGTAAGAAGGGGGGGGCAGTCTGACATGTCTTCGTGAACGTCCTTTCCCTAATCGTTGGGAATGGCGATTTTGCGTTTCAAATAAATTAAGACGAGGAAAATGGAAAATAAAACATTTCTTCACTTTCCTGCTTTTTTTTATATAGCAGAAAAAAATCCCACAAGTTGCCAAAACCCCGAATAAGCTTGATTTACACGTGCAATGTACGCTTATGAATTTTTTTAATATACATATAAACTAGTTTGAAAATTAGTCTGAAAAATAAAAATTAAATTAGAAAATAAATGAAATCACTATTCTTAATTTTTAAAACGAGAGTTAATTTTTCCATTTTCATTTTGTTTACCTATGTCTGAGGATTTGAAGCAGTTTTTTTATTGACTTCATTATGTAATAATTATTGCGCTGTCTTTTGACATAGAGCTCTCCAACGGATCTATATCGTCTTAGAAAATCAATACAGGTTACAAAATAATTATTCATATATATATATATATATATATATATATATATATATATATATATATATATATATAATATATATATATATATATATATATATATATATATATATATATATACCACACGTTAAAAGTTTTAAAAAGCTAATCCCAGAATTAGCATGGGATGAAATTGATGGAAGAATGGGAAAAAATCTGAAAATGCTCTTAGTTTCATTGAAAAAAACTTATACTGTGACAAACCTTTGCAATATATTCCAAATATTTGTGCTTCAGTACTCAAGGTTAAAGTTTGATATTACGTTGAGAGAAAAACTTAATCACAAAAATCTTCTTTTTTTTTGTTGCTATAATGAAATTTCTAATAAAAAATAATGTATCACAATTTTTAACCATGTATAATAAATTTCTGTTATTTAAAGTAGGAAACAAATATATTCTGGGTCAATTTAGAAAATTATTAAGGATCGCCTCAAACTTTTGAAATGTAGTTTACAGAAGCACACACAGGCACATATATTGTTTATGTATATTATTGATTATATATACATATATAAATATACACATATAATATATATCATCCGCACACAAACAGTTTCGCGGTATCACAGATCTTCAGTGTGGCTAGACGTTCGATTGCTTCAAGCTGGGATCTAAACCCGACCGATTTCATATCAGACAGGGATTCTACACCTAGGCTATCGTTGCATCAGAGACGAAGGGAAATTTTAACGTTTTCTATGCAAAATACATCAGTGGCCCGGAAATCACAATTCAATTCGGTTGAAGAGCAATGCGTTAATAGTGGTATGAGCCAATGTTTTTAAAATTACCCTTTTCGCAAGAGAGCTCAACTGGATTTTCCCGGAGCACGCACGCCCGCACACACAACAGTTACAGCGCAGTTACTTATTCCCTCTTCTGAAATATGGTCGCTACCTTTAAGTAGAGGGGAATTACTTCCGTTACTTACTGTTAAGTAACTCTATGGTTATAAATCTGTCACTCTTGCCTTCTCGTTCGCGTTTAACACATCATATTTTTCGTATCTGTTGTTGTGTCTGAATGAGTGCTTGGGATGAATGAATGTTTTTAATTTTTATAGACCTGCATTAATTTCGTCTTGTTAACTGATGTTTCTGCCACATTTAGTGATTGTGGGTTTTTTATTACTAACACGATTTTGCTTAGTTTCTTGTAAATAGTTATTTGTTTCATGCTGTAAATATTCATTGGGGTTACTTTTTAAAATTTTAAATTGTTATTTTATCCCCCCCTCCACAGACCACAAATTGTACATATGGGGCCTAGTTAGTATTTTCATGTAGTCAGTGAGGTATTATGGTGGATGTGGTGAGAAAGGTAAGTAAGAATGCGTTGTTTTGGTGCAAGAAATATTGTTCAGTTAGTATGATTGTGTCAGCGTTTGCGGCTAGCTAAGTTTAGAAGTTAAGACAGAAGACCGACCTCTTCCCTATTCCCCACTTCGGCCTTGTGCCACATTTTCTGTTATAGCACAGAAATAAATAACCTTTAAGACATCATT